CCGCTCCAATGACTGTCTGAACATCTTCGAATTAAATAATTAAGGACAAACGTAAACGATCCAGTACACATCGCTACGATATAATAACGACTAACGCAATATCTAGTAATCAGTATCAGTGTAAACGAATAGGTATTATCCGATCATCGCACATCGAAGTATGCATACTTACCCTAGGATACGTTGTGTCGTCGTTCTTTAAAGTACGACAGAAATCGCAAGCTACAGTGTGAATGCATCGTTAAGAAAGTATCACGACCATATCAATCATTAAAAATAAAAAACGAGACGATCCGATTTTTGTATCCCCGCCTATAATTCATGTCTCAACATCGTATTTGCGTTAAGACTTAAGGCTTAAGAATTATTTATAGCGTACATTTGCGTCTGATACGTATATATATAAATATTATATATATATAATTATAATACTTTTTGTGGGATTAAAATTAAAGGAGATATTTAGGTGGCCTCCTTTAGCTGAGACACCCTGTATATACTTTCGGAAAGAATAGTGGAGAAGGCTGGAATTAGTAAGGGTTCGTAAACAGAGGTCCAAGATTAAAAATGACGCAGAGTACAAAGTGGAGGATGATGTAATGCTGAAGTTAAGGATGGGGTCATCGGGGGTTTGAAATAGATATCTATGCATGTTTAGGTTGGCATTCAACAATACGAGGATATGATACGAGCGTACGCGTTCTTGTTACCTGCCATGAGCCACCGGCCTGACCCTTGCCGAGTACAACGTGATCGATCACCTTGTGCTCGGATCGCTGTTCGACCGATTTCCACGTAAGAAGCGACGGCACGTCGAAACCGGTGTCCACGCACGGATGTTGAAGATGGTCCATGAGAAGGGCCAACGGTCGGCCGCCCTGCCGACCCTCCAGTCCAGAGGAAAGACATTCGAGTTTGCAACGCGTACTGTCCGCCAAACCCTTCCTTCCTTCGTCGCTTCCTCCGTTCGTTTTCCATGGATTATTCGACGATTCGTCCTCCGTTTCCCGATCTATCTTTTCATAACGATCGTCGTTCTCAGACCTCGTACTGAAGTGCAGCCTGGCGGTGAGCATCTCGTCGCCGGGATGAGGCTCTCCAGTGTAATACGGCCAATTCCCGGCGAGCATGTAAGAAAGGCATATGCCGCTGGGTCCGTTTCCTGGACGAGCAATTTAATCGTTCACATCCCACCCGATACCAGATCAACGAAAAACTATTCTCTACTGACAAGATATACCTATAACGACCACGTCCTTATAAACGACGCCGTCTTCATCGTCGCAAGAGGCTTGCATCTTTCCTCCGACAAGCCGTTCTCTCTATTACGTACGGCGATCCGATTCCAGCTTCAACAAACATCGCGTGGAAAAGATCAAATAACGATCGTAAATTATTGATGGAAAATTGAAATGAGTCTCGTCGCACTTTATATGACATTTTTCGATAAATGCAACGCACGATTATGTACATTTATACATACACATGCGCGTGTACGTATTAGATTGCGTAGTCATCATATCATTATCGGGAAGTGTTGCGAAACTGTGATAACGACGATCACAGTTAACGCAGTTTCGATGGCTTAGTCACGCTGTCGAGAGTTCAGAGAAATATTGAATTTACGATTTTGATACGATCTTCATGTCATCGCCGCTAAATAGCGTACTTATTTTCTTTCGAACAATCTTCACTCCTTTCGAATAATTTATCGCGCGCGCTGACTCCGTGAGAACGAATGCAATATTTAAACCGTTCACTGGCCATCGATTGTAACAACTACGCTACGTAACGTACTTGACCGTGGCAAAGGATAATAATAATAATGCCCCGAGAGGCGAAGCAACATCAAGAACGATCGATGCGAATCGAATCTACGTAGAAACGGTAAACGGGCTTCGATTTACTCGTAAAGACGTGACAAGTAAGCAGATATCGTTAAACTAATGTAAAATCATTGAAAAAAAAAAAAACGATTGGTAAACATTTCACTAGAACGAATTAACGTCCTTCTACGAGGAATTTACGATTAGCCATATTTCTTTTCGCGACAACTCGGTTTCAACGATCGACGACGATTGAAACGTATCGGACGTTGAGAAAAGATCGATAACCAGGCATTTGCACTATGGATGAATTTGCGTGGATCACGTTCCGCAAATCCGGAGGATCCATACGGCCCGAAGGAATCGCGGGAAGCAACCGGGTGGGAGTGAGAGAGAGAGAGAGCCATGCTCTCTGATGCAACCATGGATCTGAAGGACAGAGCACTGCCTGCCGGGTTTCGTGTCGGGAGACGGAAGGGGTATCCGAGACGTCAGCCATTTTATACGCCTAACTAGTGGCGCACTCTTCAGATTCACGTACGCACATGTATGTATGTTTGCGCGTGGCCGTGACGTAAACGCATGCGCACCGAGCAGGTGGCATGCGTTAGCGCGAATATTCGTATACAAAAAGCAAGTTTTATAGATAGGCGGCGCCACTAGTCGGGCGTAGAAAATGGCCGACTCGACTGTTTCCCCTTCACGGACGGAGCTTCACCCCCCTCGTCTATAAAAACAGTATACACACCGTCCTTCAGGCTCATGGATGCAACGCTACATTACACCCTTACACGATAAGAAATAAATAAAAAAGTAGATCCTTTTACGAAACGATCTATTGCGCGTTACAGATCCAACGGACAGGAAACGATCTCGTAGGTGCAAGATACCTCGTTCGAGACGAACATGAATCTTTCAAAATACAAGACCCGTTCCAAATCTTAATAGAACTGACGGTCACCGAGATTGATAACCCCGCACTTTTTTCACAAGTTTCCCGTGAATAAATTACATAAACTATCGCGGTATTCGTATATAAGTATACTCATTTATCTTACTCTCTTGGAAGGAGCGACACTTGACCACGAGCACGTGTAGCTAAAGACTATCCTGACGAAACCGAGCCGCTTCGCGATACTAAGCGCATACACTTATATCGAATGAATCGTTTAATAATCACGGATGCTGATTCACCACTCAGGATGTGTACACAACTAGGATCAAATAATTGTATTAAAGTAACAAATGGATGGACACGACGGACATAGATGGATGCAAAGAAGAAGGAGAAGGAGAAGAAGAAGAAGAAGAAGAAGAAGAAGAAGAAGATAATGATAAAGATTGGTGAACACGGTACGAGCGGGCTTTTCGTACGGTTACACTATGTTGCGCTATGCGTTACAATTCACCTATGTAGAGGGAGGTGTACGTTTTTTCAACAAGGTGATTATTTACCTGATAATACGAGCGTGTCAAAACCTCGTAACGCATGACACAGCGAATTGAACAAGACTCCGTTGATACAAGAAACTTTGCACGTGCACGTCTACGGATGTATCTGTGTAAACATGTACGGTACTTCTACAAAGGTTTAGAAGGGAAAGCACGTGAACGAAAGGCTGATATGCGCGGAGTCGCTTCTACCAGGAGAACGATCACTGTTGTACTGACAATGAGTACTGAACCGTGAGCCGTGAGCGGGACGCGCACTTCTCCTTTCCTCGGAAACGGATTCCTGTTAGCGAGCTGGCTTCGAATTACGTTGCCGTACGTTTCCATATCTCTCCTCGTTGTCCTTAGTAGGATGAAGAAGGAGAGAGTCAGAAACGCGCGGCAAAATATCGCTTACCCGAAGAAGGTCGCGATACATGTATGATATCGTGTCCGATATCTCTTTTATCCATCATTCTTTTTTTCCTTTTAACTGATCGCGCGCATGTCCGGCCTCGCGATCGCCACAACGATAAGTACATTTGAAATGTCGTTGCATTTTTTATCGAACGCGGTTCCTTGTCAGTCGATCTTCGATTAATACGCGCGATCATTATACCGGGGATTGATTTACAGTTTTTTTAACGCGGCATAGCGAACGGCTCGGTTCGCCTCGCACGCGTATTTCCCGATATCGCGCAACAATTCACGGTATCAAATTCCTAGAATGAACGAAAACCGGTTGAACATCGCTACTATTTTTAATCCTCTTAAACGCTCTCTCTGAGGAGATCTTTAGAAGACGATCCTCCGTCGATCCTCTCGTTCGGGTCGAATCATGTTTTGGCGAGTAATTTTCCGTCCAAATGAACGGCGTCTTGCAAATTAAAAAAATTAAAAGTTCGTAGTCTTAAGATTGCCTTATCGTGCACGCTTCAGTACGAGAGAATCCATTTTTTATATAACAATATCATTATGTATGTGCTACATTGTGAAACACGTATGATTATTTTTTCCATATGTATGACCCTCGTGTATTATACACGAAACTACATTTCACGAAATTCAATTGGAATTTGAAAGAACGTGTCGGTATCTTATGACGTATTGCGCGTGAATCGTTGATCGTTTTGAACAAGTAGGTATACACGACCAAACCGCACGCGAGCCGGCGCGGCGCGAGTGTAGCCGGTATTTACGCGTGCGTTCAATTATGCAATTGTCATGACCAGGAAAGGTTGCGGCATCAATGAAAATAGTTGGTAATTAAACGACAACCATTCCCGGACATTTCGCATCGGGACAGATGACAGAAAACGTACGTTGGGATTGAAATAAACAAATAGTAAGTGGACGTATCGCGCACTTAGCACGAGGAACGGTGACTATCGTTCCGATTTTACAATGGGAACGAAAAGTAAATGAGGTGAACGAAGTAAATTAATTTTAATGTAGGTACCTATGTCTCCTTTATACGCGATCATGTCGTTCCATTTGATCCGGGTTGCAAATCGTGATCCGATGTGTCGGAGAATTTCGTTGACGTCGGACATTTCGTACGTATCCATCCGTGTCCACGATCAGCAGCTCTTGTTCTTTGATCGTAATCAACACTCCCGAATACCATGCTCATGGATCTCCCACTTAATTAATCGACGAGAAATTTCCTCCGGAAAATCTCCGATGCAACGTCCGTTTCTACTATCTCATCGACTCGGCACGTTCCTCTCTTCACCTCTCCTCTCCTCTCGACCACAGAATTTAATAGGATTTCACTCTCCCTTTCACTCTCGACATAATTGCTTCCATTTATTGTTAAAAAGATGTTTGGACATTTATACTGACACGCCTCGTTTCTCCATCGATTGCCTCTTTTTAAGGCTAGGATTTTCGCATCTCGAAGCGACTCTGCTGCTCCGTAATGGCGGAAACCTCCAACATTTCAAATGCCCGCAAGCGCTGTATCAGTAGAAAAAGGATGATGAGAGTTTTTCGAGAAATTCTGAATTCTTTCCACGCCGAAATAAAATTCTGACCATTTATTGCTCGAATATAATTATAACTAACCAAGGGTGATCATCGCTGACACGCGAGTCATGTCAGTTGAAATTGAAAGGACAATGTTCATAGATCGACGTTGACAACGTGATGCGACGTGTCTCGCGTCTCATCGAGTCGTTCCGTGTAATCCAACGTATACAGTGGTCGACGAAACAATCAGACGAAAACATTCGATATGCGCATCGATGAAAAGAACGGCATTTCAACGCTATTGTGATACGTACGTATGTATATACGCGAAAACAGTCATTGCGTCCGTTCGTTCGAACGTTATCGTTCATCGGGGAAACGAATTTGATCGGGCTCTTCGCGTTCGGAGCGTCGAAAGTCGACGAAGCTATCCTCAAGTATGTATTTAACTTTTTATTGCGATCAATCTTAGCTGACTGGCGGGATCGGTAAGAGGAACATAGGAAACGTGCATCAGCTTCTTTTTCACAACCGTACCGTCGCTGTTCTTATCGACTTGTAACAATTCTTGGAGTCCTTTGTACTCTTCCATGGCAACGACTGGACAAATCAACCGACCGCCGGGAGCCAGTTGATCGATCAGCTGCAATTCAGAATAAGCTTCGTTCCGAATCGTGTTTCAAAATGCTTCTTCGACAGTATATACCTGTTGTGGTAGAGTTTCCGCCGCCGCTCCGACGTGAATCGCGTTGTAAGGTCCACCGGCAGGGTATCCCAATCTGCCGTCTCCCACTAGGCGCATTCACAATGACCAGTCCAGTTAATCTCCGCTATATTTTTTTACGCGGCGAAGTCACGCGGTCGCCAGATACGAGCATCCGTTTTACTATGCCCGTGTCAACGTTTAAGAGGAACGCGCGTTAGGAACTGCGACCGTGCCTTTTCTTACCTACGAACTTGACGCGGCCTTCCTTGACGAAATCCGTACAATCTTCATTTATATTTTTCGTTGACATCTCTATGAGTTCGGGGATATGATCGATACCGACCACGCGGCCACGAGGGCCCACCATGACTCCCATGCACGCGGACAAATAGCCAGATCCTGAGCCAACGTCTAACGCTCTCGCCCCGTCGAACAATTGATCGGATAGGATGGACAGGGCGTACGCATGCTGCGAAAAGAACAAGTTGATCCGACGATAAACAGAAAGATTAACGAAGAGCTAACTGGCTCGTTTGTTTCATTGTCAACCAACCATGTGGGGAGCACTGATCGTTACATTGTATCCGATGGTTCTTGGTCGGTCGAGGTACGGGTTCGGTTCGTGGCAATACCTTGCTCTGTCGACGGCGAGCATGGCCGATTCTGCTTTGTCTGTCGTCAGAATACCTGCGTCTAAAGGCCAACAACGTCATAAACGTCAATCGTAGAAAACAAAAGACGAACGACAATTGATTCATACAAGGAGTACAAGGAAGAGAAAGACTTGGATACCTTTAAGTTTGGCCACCATCTCTTGGTTCGTGGTTCCATCGCAATGCCATGCCATGGTTCACGATCACGATCTTTAAACACAGTACGAAAATCTGTCAGACACGTCAGACGAAGAACAACGAACATTACCTAATCGTGGGTCAGAAATAACCTAGCCAGCGAGGAGGAGGTCTGAGCAGCACGCTGACTCGTAACCGAAACGTTTTTCAAACGATGTTTAACAACGCATCAATACTTCGAACGAACGGAAGAGACGCATTTGCGATGATCATTCGAAGAGAGAATGAGAAGAAAGTTCATTGCGCTTACGCGTACCTACGAACCGTTCCTGTTGACACACGTACGATTTTTAATTATCAAAATTATGATAGACGAGTGAGAGCCGAATCGATTCCGCGAACGAGAGGGATAGAAGCATGTCCCGTCGGATAAATTTCATTCGTTAATTAAATGAAACATTACCAGCACGTGTAACCTTAATATGGCCGTTCTCACGAACGATACACTGTATACGACAGTGCACAGAGGATGCGGCAAGACGCATCCGATGCATCTTTGACGAGAGATAGTTCTCGTTTCGCTGCAGATTCATTTCTGTAATTTTAAGGTATATTTAACCACGACCGATGTCACTATCTTTTTTTCCGCGAACTACGCGTATCGCACGCGAACACAGCTCGCAATCAGCTGACTTATGTTAAATATGTAGGTAGGCAATACCTGTTCCTGTTATCTGAGTAGCTGCAAACGCCGCGAACGACAGTTTCGATTGCGTCGTATGCGTTTACTTACACGCTTACACACGTTGTCGCTGCACCCATTGCACTACGGTAACACCGGTTGCATCTATTCGGGTAACCCTTGCCATCAACGAATATGTATGTGGTATACATACCATGTGTAGAATTCTTATTCAGACCCCGACGGAACGTTCGTTCTTTCTTATCATTTTAATCGTACTGTTATACACGCAAATATTTCTCATGTACCTGAGCTGTCTTATCCCTAATTTAATCAATAGCCAGTCACCAAAATCACCATACTGTACTCGTCATCCTCCACACTTTCCCTAATTTTCCTCGATATCCAAAGTTCATTTTCCCAAAACCTTTGTATAGCCCTCTCATCCCGAGGCAGCTTAGTCTCCGTTCAGGTACATCCACTTAGCTTACGTAAATTTCTAATAAAGTTCTGTTTTCTGTCGATCTTTAATTGCAAAAGTTGAGTGATACATCCTGCATTCAATTTCGAGGAGTTGAATCAATCGGGCATCACAGTACGTTCGATATTTAAAAGAAACGATCGAAATGTATAGTAGTACGATTACGTGCGATCGCGCAATGATACTCGATTTTATCCGTACAACATTACAATTTCGAAATCTCTGGTTAACAGCGTATAATACGTTATGCGCGTATGTAAACAAAATAAATTAATTGCTTGAAAATGTCGGTACGGTGTCGCGAGATTGTAAATTATCCCCAAGATGGAAATCAGTATATAGATCCGATAGTAAATCATAGTACAATGTGAAAGCGATAGCGCTCTTAGAAATCTGTTCGAAAATAATGCATTTGAAAGTTAGGTAAGAGAGGTAATTCGCGTATCCTGAGATGGAAATCATAGATTCATGGAACGTGTGAAAAATATTACTAAATCGATAATTTTAAAAAACGACAATTAAGGGACAAGAGGGAGATGAGAAAGATAAAGGGGAAGAAGAGGAGGAGGAGGGAGAGAAGGAGCGAGAATGTCGACGCCGATAAAATTAGGTGCGAACGCACAGCTATTTGTCTAGCGCATACAGAAAGGGAGGTAGACAAGATATGCAAATAATGCGACGAGTATGATTCGGTAGCGAGATGATTACCAAACGATCGGTATAAATTGAACGAAATTTTGAAGTTATGATAGTCGTACAGCCGTGTGCGCGGACAACGAAATAAAATCGATAATCCGTATCGGTCGTACGGACGGAAATAATACGTGCAGCAGAAAAAAGAAAAGGACGACGATGTCTAAAAAGGACGATGCCTTCGAGCCTGGCAAGCTCCGGCAGTTTCTCATTTCACTGATCGGTAAGTTTGATTACCGAGAGAAGAACAAGGGGCGAGAGAAAGAATTCTAATAACGGTTCGTTCGTCGCGTTATCAGCTAATCTGTCGTCGCTGTCATTCGGGATAATGATAAGCTGGCCATCGTCGACGTTACCACAACTACAGGGCAAGGACTCGCCGATTAATGGCGGACCGATGACGGATGAAGCTGCATCCTGGTTGACCGGGATAATGTGTCTGACGGCGGCCGCAACGAGTTCGATGGTCGGCTTTTCGGCGAACATGCTCGGCCGTAAATTAACCGCATGTCTCATGGGTCTGCCTCTCTGCTTGTGTTGGCTGTTTACCATTTTCGCAACGGAACAGTGGCACCTGTTCGTCGCGCGATTCTTCTCGGGGATATCCGGCGGTATGGTCTTGTTCCTGATACCGATGTACGTGTCTGAAATCGCGAGCGACGGGATACGCGGGATGCTGGGCAGTCTGATGGTATTCCTATTGAACGGTGGCGTTCTTCTCGGGTACATACTCGGCGCACTGCTCTCTTACCGCGTATGCGCGATCGTCGCATTCTTGTTCCCGCTGTTCTACATCGCTCTTTTCGTTTTCGTACCGGAATCACCCGTCCATCTGGTGCGACGGAACCGAATCAACGAAGCGACCAAGTAAGCGATGAAAGCGTTCCTTGGGCGTGGATCTTTCTCTAACGGCGAGATCTCTCTTGCAGATCACTGATGTGGCTGAGAGGCAGTCACAGACCGACGGTCGAGCAAGCTTTGTCGCATTTGCAAACAGAAGCGAAAGAACAGAACATTACGGGGCGGACGATCAAGCTGTCGGATCTGTTCCGCGACCGAGCAACGATCAAAGGACTCGTTATTACGCTGGGATTGTTCAGCAGTCAACAATTATCCGGAATAAACGCCGTGGTAAAGAAGATCAAAATAACCGAGTTCTTGCGTTCGCTCGTTCTTCGTCGAACTTACCTTCCTCTTTACGTTCCTCCTTCACACTCCGCATTTTCTTTCGCAGATGAGCTACACGCAGTCGATCTTCGAGACGTCTGGGAGTTCGTTATCGCCGAACAATTCGGCGATCATCGTCGGCTTTATTCAGCTTTGCGGTTCGTTTCTGTCGACCACGTTGATGGAAAGAGCGGGCAGAAGATCGTTGATGTTGACGTCCTGTTTCATGATGTCCACGTGCCACTGCATACTCGGGGTGTTCGGCTATCTGAGGACGTTGGGACACGACGTGAGCCAGTTCAGTTGGATCTCGATCGTGGCCTTGTCCTTTTACATGATCGCTTATAGCCTGGGTATGGGACCGGGTCCGTACGTCGTCTCCTCCGAGATACTCAGCCGAGATATCTCGAATTTGATGATGACCATAGCGATGTGTTACATGTGGCTGATGGCGTTTCTGGTTGTCAAATTATTCCCAAGCATAGTCGACGCTATCGGCATGCACGGTTGCTTCTTCCTCTTAGGGGGATTCTGCGCGGCTACTCTCCTCTTCATTTTCATCCTCGTCCCGGAGACCAAGGGAGAACCGCGACAAGTTATTTTAGATCGGCTCAATGGAATATCGCGACCGTTAGCTGAAAAGCTGTACATCTCTTCTAGTAACGTCATCGAAAAGAGAGCCGAGTCACCCGAACTAGTTTGAAAACATCGTTGAACGTATTCTCTCCATTGCTCGAAGTTTTTGGGTATCCGTACTCGACGGACTGTGGAAAAAATGGAGTAGCGAATAAGGGATGACTGCATTTCACGTAATTCGCGTTACGTAAACAAAACTGTGTTTGCTATTATATCGATGGATCGTACATACAACGGTACATGGTCTTAAACATACGACTGTCACTCATCCGTCAACCGTTTGCGTACGCTCTTGTTCCCAATTCTTCGCTTTTTAAACGTGGTTGGTTTCCCGTAGTCGTCGTCGACGTCGCTGTCGTCCGCATTGATTCGCGTAACAGTCTTTTCTTTGAACGTCCTCTGCACCACGGGTGGTTCCGCTTCCTCGAAGGTAGGCAACTGCAGCTGCTTTTGCCGCGGTAGTTGCAAATCCACTGGCTTCGTCTCGCTGAAACGAAACTGACTTGATCTATCGATTCGCGTCGATCTGCGTTGATTCGCCGTTCGTCGAACAAAACGTACATCTTCCGAACGGTCTGCCAAGGTCCGAGCGGATGCGATTTTACGGGAACGCTGTAATCCCTCCTGTAGGGTCGGATTTCCACTTCTTCGGTCCCCGTCTCCGGTCTCTGCGCCTGATCTTCGTCAGCCGCCATCGGTAGCTGCGCGTTGGTCGCATTCCTGAAAGCCTTCAGCTTCTCTCTCTCCGCGTTTGCTCGCTTCTCTTCGAGGATGTCCGCGTTCGCGACCGCGTTCTCTTCCTCCAGCTGTTTCAGCAGTTCCTCTTGAATCATTTGCTCTTTCACCTCCTCCTCCTGTTCCGCGAACGTCATGTACCCTTCCCCTTCCGGCGGGTACCATGCGGACTCTGTCGCGTGGAACACGGGTAGATGAAGCAGGGTCGACGGAAATCGACGGATCGTAAGTGACAGTATGAAGTGGGCGGGAAACGTAAACGTACCGTTTGTCTCGATGTGCCAGTAGTACGTGTACCCTTCGGGACTGGTAGCCTCGTACCAAAGTTTTCGAACAGGTTTCGTTGCCCGCTCTTCATCCGTGATCTTTTTTCCTTTTCCTTTCCCTTTTCCCGCCTTGCCCTTCCCCTGAGCCTTGTTTTCGCTTCGCTGCTGCAATTTGCCTTGACGCGCGGTCGCGCTTCGCGGCTGAATCGGGTCGCACGGATCGATCTCCTGGGCAAACTGGAACGACGGAGTCGCATCTTTTAAAACTCTCTCGAACAAACGAACGGTTAACGAACGAGCGACCTTTCTCGAGTCGATCGAAGTCGACCGACCATCTCTCACCTGTTGATTTTCACCCTTGAACCTAGGTAATGCCTCCGGAGCTGGCGGTGGTACGCGATTCGGGTTCGACGTCTGCAACGAATGTTTCGTAGGTCTTTTTTCTTCGTCGAGGGAATGAGTATTGAAACGGTAAAATAAGAACAATGTTTAATTTTTAACGCTAAAGCGGCACGAAGTATTAGATCGATACGCACATCCTTCGGTTCCGGTCGGCTCATCTTTTCTTTAATAATTCTGTCGGCCGTCATGTCTCTCGTGTTGTTCTCCACGTCTTTCAGATAAGCGGCCATGGCTGCCTGGACGTGAGAAAGAACGATTTTTAATCTCCTAGAGGGTAAAACACGCGCAGCAGTATACTCACATTTTCCATTTTTTTAATATCTTCCTCCATCTTTCTACTTTGCTTCGCCTGTTTCGCGCTGGTTTTATGTATCTCCTTAAGCCGTTTGCTAACATTTTCCTTGTGCTTTTTACCGCCCTCGTGAAAATTGATGCTTGGTTTATTATCGGCAATCCAACACTTGCAGAAGTCGCAGAATTTGCGACCCTGAGACTTCCAGTAATCGGCCCTATAACAACGCGTAACGAGCACTTACGTTTCATCCTGCGGATCTGTCGATCAGACGACCGATCAACCGATAAATAAAGAACGATACTGTCCTTTCTCCTCGTTTTCTCCTCATTTCCACGCACGCGTTTTCAAACGATCGTCGTTCGATTCTGCCTAGCCCGATGCTCGCTCCATCGTACGTGCGTGCATACACGAATCTATACGCCGATGCACGCGATCGTAACTTTACGTTGCAACGAAGTTGCTCGGTTATTCCGATTGAGCGAAACCTTTGACAAACGAGGAAGGGGAAAAGTCGCAATGCGCTACCACGGCTAATCTGAGATCGTGTCTCGGATAAGCGAACCCATGGGAGGAGCGAGCGGTTAATAATGTCTGTTGCGAATTAGTTGGCAATTAGACAACGGCCTTGGCGAGTACCACTTGACCCTACAACTCCACGCGTTGGACGAGCCGCCCTTCACGATCGAAATAATCGAGTTCAACGAGAGAGAGAGAGAGAGAGAGAGGAACACGTTGTTACATCGTGAAAATCGCAATTACCTTACCAATGCCGCGTTCCGTCGATAATAATTATAACAGACTACGTGTTATAATAGCAGCGAGTAAACTACCCTCGCCAGGTCGTCAGAGCGATCTGAACGTTTAGAAACCTTACGAGGACCAGTTGTATCTTCACCACGCGCGAAATAAACGACACCAGCCTGCGCAGAGCGCAGATTCGCGCAAGGGCAAAAGCAACGGCGGTTGTGACGAAAACCCCCGAAGCTAAAGATTCACAAACACTTTTCCGTTGATCCAACGCGCGAATAGAATCGCCTGAGCCGTGAGCCGTGCCGTTCTCGTGTCTGGCATACGCCAGGGTATATTTTCGTGCTTGCTTTTTGGCACGCGCAATCCGTCTCGGGACACGCGTTTACATCCAAACCGGGTGGAATCTTTAGCGGTAGCGGACACCCATCTTTCGACGACTTGACGCGTTGCGTCGATGTAAATCATGACCGTTTCATCGCTTGTAATAAAGACGTATTATTTCGTCGCGCATCGTACGTCATGCACCGAGTCAGCGTCACCCACGTCGCAGATATACTCCGAGGGAAAGGGAAGAGATACCTACGAGAACTCGACTCGCATCGTTTAGAACACGTTACGTTCGGACGGTAATGCTCGGTATTATTTAGACAGAGAACTCGGGACATATGACTGGCTCGTTGCGAATCAGAAATATCTCCGATCAATTTTGAGCGGTAGCCAAGCAGAAACAATTGGCACCCAACAAAATGTAATTTCCACGACGAAGCCGGGCTATCGTATCGCTAGGCGGACGCCCTTAATTTTACGCAACGACTTATTTTTAGGCGAGAAAAAAGACGCGGGATTGAACAAGCCGGATCTTTCGCAAACGCCGCGCGTCGGACACGTTCTTCTCGATATCGTCTCGGATCTCTTCCCCGATTGTTTGTCAAAGAAAAAATTAAGTACCTATCCGAAGCGGGAGAAGGGGCTTCGAAAATATATCGGGCTCGTTAAGTTGTTTTACAGCCGTTCTACGGTCGAACGGAAAAATGGTTGGTAGTTTCTAATTTTACCCCAGAGGGTTGTCGTTGTTGCACACGCGTCCCGACGCGTCTTCTAATCCGCGTGCATCAGCCGCCCGCAACAAATAAAGTAGCTACAACACTCCGAGACTAATCTCATCTCAAATCTATAACTTCGCCAGACGACGCGATGACCCGCGAGCGCAAGGGGAGGAGTCGTTGCTCGACGCTGTTCGCTGCCGGCGATCACCGATCGAATGCGAGATCCGTTTTCCTCCGTTCTATTTAGTGACTTAGTCCAATTGTAGTCTCAACGCGTGAACCGTGCCTGGACGAGATGATTAACTGAGGATATTTCATCGTTCCTGACATTTTATTACATATTCGCTCGGCACACTCGTGCCTCCACGTACACACCTACGTAAAAATAGTACACGTTATTCTCTCCGTTAAAGGTACAGGTAGACAGTGGATACGAGTAAATGGAAATTAGGTAACTCTGACTAAACACGACTAGATTGGACCTTCGAGTTCAACTGGTTGGTCGTAGCTTCAAGTGAAACATGAATACCCTACGATTGATAGGCACTCTACGGTAATTATCCTATCCCTCGGGACAATGGTTCTCGTCGGATCGCAGACGTCTTAGGAGAATGAGTAAATAAATAAATAAATAAATAAATAAATGAATGACTAAATAAATAAATAATTAAGTCAGTCAACTGACGAATCACGTAGTTTTTACGCGTGCACCTCCGCGTTCGTAAGTCTCAGGACATTTTATATTTTATGTCCTATACTCGAGTACGAACGAACAGATTGAGACAATGAGCATTAAGAAGTGTTCCAACATTTGTGAACGAAGACGTGCGATGCTACGATTTTACGTGAAAGTCTTTCATAAAGAAATCACGAATTGGACCCTCGATTGAACATTTACGTCGGCTGATATTTGATGCTCATTCAGTTCTGCGAGGTCGTCTTTCGAGATGACTCTAACGGATGAAGGAACTTAATACTACGCGCGTAACAACGTCCCGTTGCACTCCGAGACGGTGACTCGTCAGTGGCGAGAGTTTTCCAATTTCTATCCATCTAACATCAGGTACTTGAAATACTATCGTTCACGGCTACTCGCCTCGGACACGCGCGTCGCGTGGCGAGTAAACGACTTTAAGCTGTAGAAACGTATACAGGAACACGCGTGAAACTCGGAACAAGCGGGAATCGGAATCGGTGAACGAAAGAAGTAAATTGATTGGAAGAAGGAATGAAGGGGTTCTGGACCGCGACACGCTCGATGATCGATGAGGATCATCCTAGCAGCGTTTTCTTTTGCTTCGTCAGCTCTAGAAGGATCGGATAATGGAGGTCCGGACAATACTCCTGGCTGTGCTCCAATAATTCCAAATGCCTGGACCAAATCTTGCCGTCGTAACGGTCTATCTGTCGCGCGACGAAACCCCGTTTGACCGCGGCCTCGGCGAATTTTTCGAAGGTCGAACCCCTCCCGGGCGCCATCACCAACGCGAGGCCGTCGTTCGCCAGCCATCCGTACATCGTTTCCACCAAGTCCGATCGGGCCTCGTCGAAGAACAGACAGTCCGCGCACAGGATCACGTCGTACAGTCTATCCGCAAATTTCGCAAGGTCCTTCCCACCGCCACCGGTCCAGTTCTACCGGTAAAAATTCAATTCAGGACTTCTGTCCAATTCTCGTGCGAGACAACTTCCGACCGTGCCCGGAGCAAGCCACGAAGGCAACCGACAGAGAATAATTATAAACGAAGCGTCCTCGTTCCGTATCGCCTGATCGACGATAATGGAAAAGGTGACCGGCTGAATCGAAATGAAAACGCGCACATGCCCGATCTTCGCCACTATCCCGTTACGAAGACAAACACGACTGAGAGTGAAAGAGAGAAAGAGAAAGAGAGACACGGGAGACTCGAAAAGAGGGATTCACCTTGACTCTCTGCTCGTTGGGGGCGAAAGCCCTGGACGCTCTGGCCATTCTTATCGCTCTTGCTGCTCTTCCCCACTGAACCACGCCGCATTCCACGAGATCGGACATGCCGTTTCTGGCCACGATCCGTTGCACGTTGTTTGCGCTGGTCACGTTGCCGTCCGTCAACGTAACTTGCCTCGGATCGCAGTACTTGGCCGCGATCATCCCTGCCAAGCAGCTCATGCCGCCGCCGAGCTCGAGGACCCTTCTGTCTCGGCACAGGTGCCGGTTCTTCAGCAAGTAGTAGGCCAAGCATTCCTCCGATGGCCAGACGCAGATGTTCCCGGTGTTGTTGAAACCGATCAATTCGTTCGCCGTGAAATTCCTCTTCAGTCGATGAATCTGCAGCGTGAACAGTTTGTTCTCCGCGACGGCCGAGTACTCGGACCAAACCCCGGCGTCCTGATCCATCGCAGGGTCCACGCGGTTAACTCTGAATAGTTGGAAACTGGTGAAACGGCGAACGGAGACTTCGTTCTCGTCTTCAGTGTCCATAGATCTCCGAGATCCGATCAGCGCTTTAGCGAGAATACGCCATCGCCGCTGCGCGGTATTCTTCTTCTTTCTCGTGATCTTCTCCTTCGGAATATCGTTCGCGGTCGGCTCCCGGACGCTCTTCTCGGACATTTTCGTCTCCTCCAATTCTAACGGGCCGAACAATGGCAAGTGTTCCCTCTGCTACGAAAGTACGCGTTCCACGCGAAGACGGGCCAGAACGCTGGGCCAACTGACGACGAGAAGAACGATCGTCTTCATCGTCCTCTCTTTCCTTCTTCGAGCGACGACGACAACGACGAGACGAAAGAACTCCAGGAACGTCTTGGTTTCTTCTCGTCGTTTCTCTTCGCCTGTTCGCTTTCCTGTTACGGGGCGAGAATGAACGAGAAGGGGACACGGGTCGAGACTAATTGTAAGAGCACGAAGCCAACTTCTAACTCGCGCCACGCGGATGCCGAGCGTTCATCGTGTCCATTCCACGCCTGCGCCTATACTCTTCTCCTGTCTGTTCTATCCGCTCCGCGCAACTTCACCCTCCGACCCACCCACAGACCCACCTCTTCCCTCTGCTCGCTGCTCGCGGATCTCCTGTTTTGCTTCACCACCGTCGTCGCATTCGTCTTTCCGCTCGTTTCTTCTCCTATATTATCTCCGTGCGATTCTTCTCAAAAGAATTGCCTACTCTGTCTAGGCTTTCTATCCTTCGTCTCTCTGTCTCTCTCACTCTCTCTCTCTCTTTCGGATTTTATATCTACGGGACGAATCGATAAGAACGATCATACGAAATACCTAACGGTAAGCCGCGGTTTCTTATGCAGAATAAAATACTTGTGGCATCGATTTCGAAAATGCAGGCAGTTTGAATACGACGAATCACCTTGCCTAGTAAATTTTAATCGGTTCGACGGCGACTGATCCAATTTACCTTAAACGGGACAACATCTTTAACGGTGTTATTGCGTAAAACGGACAAGTCTCGGTTCCATGTTTTGTAACGGGATGACACACCGTCATACGGTTTTATCGTTAGACCACGGATTTTATCCGCATAAAAACAGACTGAACGAGCGACGAACAATCCGTGCGATGCGTAAAACTAGGTATATCAAATATCAAAAGTGAACGCACATCGCGGTGGCCGCGAATGTTTCGTTTTGCACAAAAATCCCCGCCTCATTTGTCGTCGTATGTCCGTATAAATTGCCTTCGTCTTTTGTTTCTTAATACCGAAACAATCATCATCGAGACTTGTTGAGTATTTGGTCTCGTGAAAACACCTGCTGCTCTGTTATGTATTTATGTACGCACGTACATGAAATGCAGTGAACGAGCTGATCGTCAGTATCGACGCTATCGTGTATGCAGCCTTTGCGCTTATGCAACCGCGAGAGACGACGGAGAAAGGGAACCCGGAGGCTAACGACAGGTACAGACAGGCGAAGAGTACATGAATTGTTTTAATACGATGTTATCCGACGTAAATAGGAGCCGATAAGAACGATCTTCGGGCGGTGATTTCGTTCGAGCACGAAGACAACGATACCCTCTGCTCGTCTCAGAGAGAACGAATATAGATTTTCGCGCTCCCTGCGCCAGCAATAGAATTAGTTCTTTGACACGAATCTATCCATTCCTATTTTCGATGTATTGTCATCGTTTCATCGAATAAAAACTATCTATTCTTCGGGGTCTCATTCCACCTCGAGTGACATTTTACGTTGGAAAGATAAGGTTCTCGTGGGTACAGATGCGATTCGCTCGTTCGATTCTTCTTCTTAAGGGAACAATACATTTGACGTGTAACGTTATCTGGGATGCGATCCAGTTTGAATCGAAACGTTTGCTAGTCGTAGATAGCGATAGAGAATACTAGGGTAGTAACTGATAGAATGGCTTCGCATTTACCTATCGGTGTGCAATGCAGTAGTATCGCGATTCTCTCAAGCAACCCTTCACGCATCGCGTTTGATCTGATCGAACTGCAAAATACAGGGTTCACCACTAACTTCCTACTCCGAAGTACGAGATCGACACGGGCCACGGCTTGAATTCTCGTTTCTAGTAATTGCATACAAATGTATGCGTCGCACTATCGTGGTCCTGGCCGTGACTCGACGAGAGACGAACTGGCTGGCACACGTCCGACAACGAGACGTTTAATTTTTCAGAGTTCGTCACCAAGTACAGAGAACGATTGGACTGGTCAGAATTAAGAAATACGACTGTGATTTATACTCGAATTAGCCGGTACTCATTTTTTATACGTAAACAATGCTGTGTTGACAAGACTGTTCCATCGAGAAATTATGCAAATCTTTACAGTAATAAAGGATACACACGTATTTGAAGTGAAAGACGCAATCTCCAACTTACATGTTTTAGAACTCGAGCAAGGGTCCCTGATGGCTCGTCTTTTATAATGAGCAACGAATTTTCGAGTGAACGTCACTCGACTGTCTTCCGAAGTTCCCGAGAACTGTAACCAGTGTAACCTCGATTCACATATCTACACACCAAGTACGTAGCGTTCTGCTCGCAGACTCGAACAGTACATAACGCTGCAGGTATAAGTTGCAGTTGAATACAGATGTCCGAACACTTCGTAAATAAAAAATTAAGCTAAACGACGCGTATTGTTGACGAAACGTAATGGTAAAGACAGAACGACTGATACCAACTGATACGCGCTTAGAATGTGAGAATTCCATAAACTGGCGCCACCTAGCTAAACTCTGTCGACCGTTCTGATCTTATCGTCGCTAGATGTCGCTGTATGTTCGAAAATGAACATGGTAAAGGACCTCTCCCACTACTGCATCCGATGTCACATAGTCTGAATGTATATACACGTACGTACGTACTACAGAGATAAAGACGAGGTAAGCGTACGGGTCGCCTCGGGTCGCACACGGGTCACTTATCTGTATCAGAGAGAAACTGAGAGTGCTCATGGAGCCGTTTTGGCGTGCCCCATACTAGTGCTGCACCTTGCGGCCAGTTCGGGAGGAGGCTCCACCGTAGCATATGCCAGAACCTTTTTAGGAGAAATCTACCGTGTTCAGTTCCACCGTAGCGGAGACAAGAACCTCCAGTTCCACCGTAGCGGAGACAAGAATCAAATGGACATGGACGTCCACCGCAGCATAGAAGTCGTTCGGCCGAGCGGTAGCCGCGATAGCCACGACGATACGTATTTTGTAATAAATGAAGAATACGTTTATATTGATTTAATTTGTATATTTTATTC